CTAATGAGGCGGTTTTAATAAAAACAGCCGGTAGATGTTTTTTCCCTCTTCCCTTCTCGCTTTTCACCGCCTGCTTGTGTAGTTTCTACTGCCAGTGTGGCCGAGGTGAAGGTGGGCGAAAAGGGCATGGTTTTCACGATGAGGCACGTTGAGTTTCCCCTAATTTTGGAGACGGTTGGTTGGGGTTTGTTGGTCCGTTTGGGAATTGGGTTCTGTGCAGGGTAATGGAGTGGTGAGAGGGAAGAAAATCTATGTAGGAATACCAAATTAGGGACAAAAAGTGTCTTGGAATAGTTGAGAGGGGAAGAATGTCCCTAGCACACAGGTGTGAATTATTACTGAGGTAAGATCAGTCAGATTAGCACTTCATTAGTCACCTGCTGCAAGTGGAAAGTAAGCCATGAAAGCGTTGGTGTTTGTAGTTGCAATATAGGAATCAGAAATGAGATTCAGAGAGGGTTTGTGGGTTCTTTGGTTTTGGGCTTTTTAAACGTAGCTACCATAAAGTAATGGATTTGGTTTGTGGCCATATATGAATTCCTGACCCACAGCTACCACAAGGAAGGAAGCTCAGCTCATCTCATCCTAAAAGAAGGAGAATGGGTCTCTATCTCTTTCTGCTGGGTTTAGGAGAAGACTTCCCTCATAAAACATCTTTACTGTTGTTTTTCAGAATGATTTAGACTGCAGCAAGGTACAGGTTACTTGATTATGAAAAATCTTGCTGCTTCTGAAAGCAAAATTGCATTGACTACAGTTTTATCAGTGTCACTCTTACTTCAGCATATTACCCATTTCATGTGGAGTTGCAGTTAAATCACAATTAATAACTTGCTGCACAGGCCAGAGAGGGAGTTAAACCTATTTTGGTTTATGCATATTGCTCTGTTTAACACTCGGATACATAAGGGAGAAAGGTAAACTGTGGGAATGGACAGTTGCAGGTGGCTGAGGAGCATTCCACAGCCTGCTCTGGTGAATAAAGAGACCAAAAGAGGCAGCTTGTGATGTAGTCTGGCATTCCATATGGTCTTGATGCTGTGCACTACTGGTGTGAGCCAGCTGTCACTGGGATAAGCGGTTTTGCACTGACTTGGGATGTGGATCAAGCCCTTTAAGAAATTTGTGCTAAATTTTTTTACAGTGCTTAGGACCCCATCTTGGAGTCTGTAAAGCCAGGCCCAGTTCCTGTGCCTTGCATGGGTTCTGTTTTCTTCAAATGAATAACTGCTGAGAATTCTAGAAGGATAAAACAAAATGAGAGACAAGCAATATGTGTACTGTGAAGTGAAATAAAAACCCATCTACTTGTCTGCAGGAATTCGCAGCTTTAATGTTGATATGTAAATGATGAGATGCAGGTGGTGGAGGAAGGTGTGGTGAGCAGTGACAGATCCAGCATTGGTCGTGCATGTTTAATTGCAAAGCCTGCATTGTAATGCATCTGGTGCTCTAATTTAATAAATAACCTAATGTTACAGACACTTGAATGGCTGTTGAGGTAGAAGTGAGCAGTTGTTGGAGTTAAGCTGTGAACTCTCAGTGATGAAAAACATAGCAAAATAACTTTCTGAATTGAAGCATCAAAAGAGGCAGTGCAGTTTTGGCATAATCTGCTGTGTGACCTCTTTATAATGAGTGTCTGAGGTATTAGCAAACCCAGAAAGGAAATCTCTGTAATTGAAGAGGTACTTTGATATCCTACCTTCATATTTAACAGCTTATGCTTTTTAATTAATAGGTTGAAGTCAAAGTTCAGCTGAAGTTTCAGTAGACATTTTTCTTCTATTTTTTTGAGTACTCTCTCCTAACAGGAATGATGACTGGGTAAAAATAGGCCATTTTAGAAAAATAGCTTTCGTAGCCCATATCTGTATTTGAGGAATGCTGCTTAGTGTTGAGTTTGATGTGAATACTGTAGGGAATTTTTTCAGTATGATATATCAAACTTTATGGCTTCACAGGAAGAAATATTTATATGCCTCAGTTTTAATATTTCTTTTAGGTTGTTGTTTATTAGATAAAATTATGTCATAAAAACAGAATGATTTGTGGAGAGTTGATGGTCTCTGGCAATGTTTATCCACCCAAATCACTTCCTTTATTGAATAAAAAATGTTCTTACAGAGAGCATGAAACACTAGGAGTTCAGGAAAGATAGGAGTTAAAACAAAGCACAGTATTAAATACAGCCATGTTGCAAGAACATGGAAAAGTGGCTGCTAATGTAGACCTGAGACATACCAATGCTTCTTTCAATATATTTTTTCCTTCTTTGTTCTGCATCAGTCGCCACCACGCTGTCATTATTCAGAAGAAAGAATATGCAGCAAGAGATGTCATGTTGGCTGTCATAATTCACTGTTCAGACATATAATGTTTCAATGAAGGAAGATGTTGTATAATAGGAATATACTTTTGAAGTCTGGACAATGGTATTTCAAGGCTGGTGGGAAAACTGTTGTTCTTCTTGATCAATACTGGCTCAAGAAGTTTTCCCTGGTTAGCTTTTTTTCTTTAGTTCCGAATGGGAAAAGTTCTGGGAAGACTGAGATAAACTTGTACAACAAATGAACTGTTCGGATGTAGCGGTTAATAATGAGGTACATGTTATTTCCACTGATGTAAAATCATTGTACAATGTAAAAAGAGCAGTTTTCCTAAGAACTGTTCCCACCTGTGTGACTCATGAGCAGCTTTGGCAAACTTACCTCAGTTGGAATCAGGATTTACTTGACACAGAAGCAAGTTAAGCTGTAATGATGTCAGAACATCTGTGTTTATGCTTAGAAGTGTTTCGGTGAGCAAGCACTTTCAGTGCTGCTTTCAAACCTGTTCAGTTAAGCTTTGTTTTCTTGGCTGCCCTGCATGTGTGAGGCTGCTGGAGCCTTACGTTGCCTTCCAAGTTGATTTTTGCACTTTCTTCTCTTCCAAGAGAAGCAGATGCAGTAAGTGGTCCTTCCTGAGCACAGAACTCAAGTCACATCTGGAGAATTTGTCATGGCACTAGGCAGTAACTCTGTAGCAGAATGCATACAGCGCTACATGAAGGGAAAGCTTGAAAATGGTCTGCAAGTGTATTAAATAACTCAATCCAAAATTTGCAGGATAGCTGTGCTGCAGCCATACCTCTGGTATGAGGGGCTGGACAGGGCTTTTACACATGACTGAACATAAAGGTGTGTTTTGTGTTGGATGTAGATGATGAACCAGGTATCAAGATGACTGATTGATAAGTACCTGAGGCTTTTTTTTAAATCACTCCCAAAATGTTGCCATTACCTACTGGTTTCCTCGTTGGGAAATAAAATCATAACTTTTGACTGGAATCTGTAACCAGTTTATAGGTGGTCCTGCTAAATCTTGTGGAATTTATCATGAGAAAAAGACCCTGGTAATTTCTGTGAGTAGTAGAGTTCTTTTTCCCCTTCTGTGGGCATCCAGCATCTCATTGCATTCTTTTGTTTAGAAATAGAAATGTGTAACTCATTAGGCAAATTTGGCTAGGTTCATTTGATAAGGAAAGTTGCAGGTGATGTGAGAAGTTTAGTGAAACTGTTTTTGTAATACAAATATTTTGCAATGGCTGGAAGGTTTTTGGCTATGTGCAGGGGTCTGCAGCTCTTGCTGCTTTTACTGACAGTGCTTAATGTGGAGGCAGATTGATTCTCAAAATCAGTTTCAAGAGGTTATCAAGTTTCTGATCCAGGTTTTTTACCCTTATTACTGCTACAAGCAGCCAGTTGGGTTTGTTATGCTCTCTTCTCTGTATATCATGATTTTTAAAAATATCTTATAATAAGGTCCTTTCCCATTTCTAGTCTAAACTATCTTGTCATTTCTATAACACACAAATCTATAATTTTCTTTATTTTCTGCCACAGATTAATACTTAGAAGTTAGCACAGTGATTTTGCTTTATTAACTGCTGCATTAAGTGTCACCATGAACAGTTTGTAGTAAAAGGTTCCTTCTTGATTAAGTATTTATAGACATTAGGCCTGAGAAAGGCAATTGTTCCCAAAGCTTTGGCATTTCTGCAGGATTCTTGTAAGAATAAAGATGATTCAAATAAATGTCAGGAGGGATTTGCTGGCATTAGGCAGTTGTGTGATGCACAGTTTTCTTTTGATATCAGCATGGTGTTGAAGTGGCTCATTACTTTGCAAACTTGAAATACCAATGAAACAGCTGAATTTAAACAGTGAGATGGTTTTCTATTTACATAAAGTGGAAGAGGCAGGAAATGGAGAGCCTGGGGAAGATACCCACTGGGTGAGGATTGTGTTTGATTCATTATTATTTTAGTAGGTGCTAAAGGACAGTGTAGCTAAAGTCCTGGAGAAGTCTTCAAAGGAAGAAAGATAAATACTGGGAAATGTTACTTATAGCCTTTAGTGTTTCTTCTCACCCACCTAAATACAAAAATTAAATACAAGGGCTGGATCACATCTTCTGAAGCTCTTCTTTTACATAAGCAATGTAGGAGAGTCAAACACAGCTGCCCAGAAAATAATAGCCATGGAGGGACTTGGTTAAGTTGCCTCCACCCAGCGCATACCCTGTTCTTTGGGCTCCCATGCTAATCTTGGCAGAACATGAATGTAGGATGGACTCTGTCAGGCTGTTTTGTAGTCTTTAAAGGGCATTGAAATGTGCCAGTGTGTCGTTCTGAACCGTGTTTTGATTTGGGATGACATTTTCTGGCAAAAATGTAATGGTGTAGGCTACAATCGCTTAGAGTGTCCAAACCTGTCAGAGACACAGTAAGGATTTTCTTCTTTCAGCTGCTTGCCTTTTTCCCTTCTTTATGGCTTACCACCCTCCTGATGTGGTGATATGACTGCATGTTTAATAGTTCTGTAATCAAGTTTAATAAAAATTATCCTGGCTAGTCTAAAAGAATTTAATAATTGGGATTATTAAATTGGATTATTTTGAGAAACAGTTATGCCACTGCCCTTAGATTTAAAGGGACATTGTGATCTGGATATGGGGTAGTTATGCATGGTACAAAATAGGGGGAATACCTTTTTATTTGACTAAGCAGTAGCCAGAGAAGATAATCTGATACAGTTTTTAGGCTTAGAGATCATTACTTAGTGCATGAAAGAGACTGTCTCCTCCAAATATTTATTAATACATACTTTGAATACATTTAAGACAGACCTGATGGACAAAATTCAGGGTGAAGATAATAAAAAAGAGAAGCACTTTTATTGGCAACGCAGATTTTGAACATATCATAGGAGGTGCTTTGTATCACATCTGACACCTAAACTAGTCTCATTTAGAATGTTTCCTTTATGAACTGTGGTGGTTTTGAAGTACAGTCAGTGGCTTCAGTGGCTCAGAACAGCATGGTGTTTCCTACCTGCCTGGCAGGTGAAGAAGACAGACTGGAGCTTGCTTAGACACTGCAAGGTGGCAATAAATACTAAGTGTGTTGAATGGAAACCTGGTAAATAATCATATAAGCTTTTTATTTCACTTTTGGCATAAATTAGAAGAGAAATTTTAAGTTAAGTCATGCGTTTCTAGTGTACAAGTCTAATGAATAAGGTGGTGTATGTTACAGCTCTTCACTTGCCATTCTTCTGTGTTGATTTGTTTCATTTCATTAAATGCAAAGTGTTGGTACAGCAACACTGTGTTTAAAATGTTTCTGTTGTTTTCAAAAGTAGCATTTTCTCAGTACACATAAGTGTGAATATTAATTAACATCTACAGTTTAATTACATAACATATAACAAACCACATACACCCAGCATCTTATATCTTATGCAACAGTACTCTATTTTATAATCAGTTCACTTAGTTTTCTGTGTCTATATGATTAGACAAGAACTATGTTTACTTGAATCTTCACTTGTATCATCTTTGGGTCAGTGTCTGAAAGAAATTCCTTCCTCCTCAAGGATTTTGAGTGGTGAATCTTAGCAGCACAAGTTCCCTGAGGTTTCTGCAATAATTAAAACGTTTTGATAATAGTCCCAGATCCTGTACTTAGAAATCAGCACTCTGAAGACATTTACATGAGAATGGCCTCTTGCAAAGCTGAGTGTTTGGGTGGGGGTTGATGGGAGAATCCTTCTGTTCATTCTGAAACTATGACCTGGTGAATGCCATTAGGCTGTAATCCATTTATTCCATGTGGTGGTGGGAACAGAGAACTGGATATTTCATTTGGACTGAGTGACCCAGAGTCACTCTGAGCTGAGCCCCCGCTGCCATCAAACTGAGAGATTTTCTTCTTGATCAGTTTTCTTTCTTTCGCTCGACGGTTTTGGAACCAGATTTTCACCTGTGTTGTTACAAATGATGCCCAATTAGTTCAAAGCAGCAGTCAACTTTTTTATAGTAATAATAACAGTGAAAATTTAGATACGTTAAAATTATAAAAGCAAGAAAGAAAACCCAAGAAACCCAAACAAAGAAAACAGCAAAAACCACAAAGAACCCCCACAAAACCCCATAAACCCCAAACAAAACTAAACCAAACCCCCAAACCCAAAAAGCCACCAAAACACTGGATTTGTGCAGCAAAATAGGTTTTGGTTACTCCCTGTGAATTTTCTGCATCATAATCAACAGAAAATGACTTTTTTTCTTAGTGTAAAGTGATTTTCTTAGACTTGGTGTAAAGTGAATTTGCTGTGTTATGTTTAAGAATGTAGGAATCAACTTATTTAGACTCACATTTACCACTTTGGGCAACCTGCTACAGTGCCTCACCACCCTCACAGTAAAGAACTTCTTCCTTATATCCAACCTAAACTTCCCCTGTTTAAATTGAAACCCATCACCCCTTGTCCTGTGCTGTGGTCCCTGATGAAGAGTTTAAACTTTTCTGTCTGTTCAGACTTTTAGTTTAAGTATCTCTATTTTCTTTCCTTGTGCAAAAGTGTGAATGGAGATAGAAACACCACTTGTGTTTTCCTCATCATCATTTTTTGTGTTACTTTACTTTTTTTGTTACATCCTTTAAAATACGCTGAATACAATACGATACAGAAGGTTGTAGCATTGCTTTGTATTAAAAATCTCATTCTTATTTTCTAGATACTGTTTTATTAACTTAGTGACAGTAACAAACATTTAGCTTTGTCAGGAGTCTTGTAGAAATGCAGCCAGGTTATCTATTTTGTCTGCATTATACTTGAAGGGAATTTGCAGTCAGAAATTGGATGGCTTTAAGAGCAATGACTATGTGAAAGCAAAGTGCTGATTTTATGCAGTATCACTGGCTCCTCCAGGAGTGCCTGTGTTCTAAGTCAGCCAGCTTGTGTAGAGGTTTGGAATCTTTCATAACTGCAGTTCTCTGAGAATTTTCCAATGCAGCTCTATCATAATGTGTAACAAACTGCAGCCCATCACCAGCAGACTTGTTCTCTAGAGTTACTTTCTGGGGCCACTTACAGTCTGTGGAATATAATCTATGTACTGTTCAGGTCTGTGCTTGAGCATCATTGCACTACAATGTTGATAAGAATCCAGTGCTTCGTTGCTTATCTATGCATCCTTACACTTCCAGCCTCAATTGGTCCCTTTCTATTTTGTGCTCTTGCACAGACTGAATGCAGAAGTTGAGGCCACTGGAAGAGATAATATTTTAGCGAACTGAATATATTTTTATATATATATATGTTCAGTATATTCAGAAAGAGCAGAAGTTTGTAAAATTCTTAACAGAAAGATCTCTTCTTTAAATTTACCTGGGGGCAATAAATGTGGTTGCTATGGTGGGAGATACCATATTCAGTATTGCCAAATCTTCCCTTATTCTCCAGCTGTAGCAGAACCATTGCAATTCTGTTGCATAAGGAAGGTTGAATTCACCAGTAACTATCTTTGCAGTCTACAGAGCTGATCTTCCTGTGTGCTTTCAAACACAGTGATTTTAGGAAATTCTTTATCCCGAATCCCTCTAGTCCTTGTATAGCTAAGACACCTGGGCCCCAGCTCAGGAGGCTGTCTTAAGGACGGAGCTTAAATATGTACTTGATGTGAATGAATGCAGAGCTGCTGTCCAAAGAAGCAGTAGATGCACTTGGAAATTTCCTGAATGGGTGGTGCTGGCTACATGTATGTGTACAATAAGCATAAATATTTGGCACCAAATTTTACAGAGTAAAGCATCCTGCATATGTGGTGGTTGTGAACTACTACTGTAGGTGAAGACCCTATGAACATAATAGCAAAAAAGAGATCCTGACTTGAATATCAAAGGTTGCAAAAACTCCTTAAAATGTGCTGAAATCTGCCTGACTGAGGAGGAATGTGGCCTGTGCAAATGATTTTGATAAATTTGTGACAGAAATTGCAGAGATGTCTTGTTTGATTGCTGGGTTTACATTTTCCTGGCTTACAGCTGAAATACATCCCATGCTTTGTTTTTTTTTTCTGGCCACCATTTTGTGTGAGTGCAAGAAGTGAATGTCATAACTATTCTAGCTGTGTTGCAAGCTGCTGTGCACATAAATACTTCTTCTAGTGCAAATGAATTCCTAATCTTTAGTTACCCATAATTGGAGGTTTCTGTCAAATCAGCCTATTTGTTAATTTGTCTTTGTGTAGTGTATTCTCTGTGTCTCCAGTGTACTCAGAATATATCCTGGTTGCCTTCGCACTGCTTTTGGATCCAGAATGGGAATGCTGCTCCAGTTCCTGGCAGCAGCAGCGTTTGGGAATGGGTGCACACGAGTCTCTGTGTACCTGTCTTTCAGATAGTCCCAGATTTGCTGCCAGTTCTGACTTTCTCCTTATCGTAATATATCTGTTGCAGTGAAATTCCTTCTCTAATTCTAGTCTCTGATGATCTGTGTAAACAACTCGGTACTTTTCTTTTGTTCTTGTTTTACCTGTTTAGGAAAGAAATATTATTAATATGTTGAATTGGATTTTTCTTTCAAACATTTTACAGACCACAGAGTTCCAGCATGGGATTGTTTTCTGTATTACAGAGGTAAAACACAAGGTGCAGCGTGAACGAGTGAATATTGGTTATCGTAACTGTCTTTCCCTCTTTATCTTGCTCTCTCTGTAAACATACATTTAAATGTAAAGCTCAAGTGAAACACACCCTGAAGCATCTTCAGTAATTCACAGCAGTACATAATTGGTGCTGGCTATATTTGATTTCAGAGGGGTTTAATTTCAGTGCTCATTGAAGTCACTTTGTGTGTAGGCAGGCATAAGCACAGGATTTCAAGACTGAAGTTCAGTCACAATTTCTTTAGTTGTACTGTGTCCCGATTCTTTCTTTGAGTTTGTAAAGATCACCTCTCTAGCACAAAGAAGTGTCCTAGAAAAGCCTTTGCTTTCTTGTGTGGCCACAGGGCATGCTTGGAAGTCTAATAATAATTTGAATTTATTTCTTTGGAAAGGTTGAGTCTTGCAGGATGCTGAGTGCCTGTGGAGGTGTGACTGGGCTGCTCTGTGTCCTGAGCTTCCCTTTAGAGTTGTAGGCACTTGGCAATTTGTAAGACGAGGCAATAAAATACTTGTAAAAGGATTTCAGTATCGTCCCCTCTCTAATGTGTAAAAGAAATATTCTTACATGTACTGGATAAAGAGTGTTAAGAGAAACATTAGTAGATGTTTAGAAGGTATCTCTCATTCCATTGACTTTGTTAAACAGTTCTTTGTGTAATAATACAGAGAGATCACTTTTCAACTTATTTGTTCTCCTTTGCACTTTCAGCAGCCAAATAGAAAATTTTCCTTTTTCTTCTGATCTTCCTGTTTTTTTTTTTTGATGTGAGTTTTCTGGGACAAACTGTAGGACAAAGACTCCTTTTAAGTGGTTCCCTAAAATCCATTGAGGTGTTAAGATGAAGCACACGCCACACAAAGGAGCGACAAGGAGATCTTATCAAAAAACCCTTTCACATTCAGAAACACAAGCCAATTGGCTTGGAATTTACAAGCCCTAAACAAATGTCAGACTCTTTCATCTTAGCAGAGGAAAAAAGGACAGGAATAGATGAAGGAATATTTTTTCCTCAGTTCTCATATTTTGGACCAACACTGAGGATAGACTAGGATATTTTTAGCTGAAGTCTAGAGGTAGACACAGCTTAAGACGTTTTGAAATACACATAAAGATGTTTTCCAAAATCCTCTGTCACTTTGACTTCTAGTGTACAAAGTTTTCCTGCTTAAATTCACAGGACTAAACCAATCATCAAACTAAGTTTATTTTTTTTTTCAAGATACAAACTGTTGGCTTTGAAATATTTGCTCAAAGTGATAGTTCTAATGTTAACAATAGTAGAGATATTCAGGTTCCTTGTAAACTGAATGCTGAAGAGGGAAGCTTTGAAAACAAGTTAAAATTCAACAGGGTTATTCCGGCTTCACTATAATCAGCAAATATAACCATGATTTGAGGGGGTGGAGAAAAGGAGTAGTTTTCCCCATTCCCCTTGGTCATAAAATTCACAGAGCATTTCTTCTGAAGACAATAAAGCTGGGAGAAGGCCTCTTTATTTGCTGTGAAAATCATCACCCTTTCCGGCAATATAACTCCTGAAGAAAAGAGGGAGAAGGAAGAGACAAGACTGCATATCAAAGCAAAGCAAAGTGTTAAAAGGGTCTGTTGCCTCAATATGACAGATAGGCCTCAAAAACTCAGACAATGTAGGCCAGTGGAAAAGAGATGTCACAACTAGTTTACAAAGCAAAATAAATTAGCATTAGAGCAGAGGCTTTTTCTTTTTTCCTGCTTTTCTATTTTGCTTTCTGGCTCTGCTTCTGCTGTCATGTAATCTGCAGAACATGTACATCGCTGCTTGCTTAAGCAACAACACAAAATGTGCTGGCTGTAGTTGAATATAAAAATTACATTGTCCTTTTGTTTAGCCCCCTCCAAGTCCATTCCCATTCTGAGAAGAGTCACTCTCAAATGAAGTTTCATGTGAAATTTTAAAAGATATAAAACCTGTTTTCTAGGTCCTTGTTTAGGTACCTTCTTTTCAGTAAGTTTCATGCCTTGAAGGCTCACTTGCTCTCATGAAATATGTATTTTACACTGTTGATTACATGGGGCTTAGAAATGAATTGGTCTGAAGTTCTGCTCTTACATAAGTTGACAGGGCATTTGTCATTGCCTTTTATTAAAACCAGGATCGGACTGTGAGGAATTCTGTGGAAGTTCTTTGTCCCATTTTGAGAGCCTGTCTGGGAAGGTACCTTTACCAAGCCCACTTTTGATGTTTGTGTTTTAAAATTTGTTATTGCGTCATCTGTTTGCAGTGTCTGTGTATTTAAAGTTATAAAAGCTTTGGTTCTGAATATACAGCTACAGTCCTTCAGTAGAAGGATTTATAGTTTCAAATCACATTTTATCTATTGAGAGGATATAGTACTTCTGTGTTCGTGATGTTGTTTCATCCTGGAAATTGACTGTGTCAGGTAAATTTCCAGTTCACTTTTTCTGCAATTTAATTTTGTGTATAAAATGCTAAATGTGAATATTAAGTAAGAATGTGGCATATTTAATAGAGTCTAACTAGAGGGGGGAAATTCTCATTTAACATCTCCCACAAAATAATCCCCATGGTCTTTAGGACCGTATTTTTGTAGGCTCCCTCATTTAATTACATGTGTTTGGATTTCTGTTATTCCGTGCTGCTCACATACATTTATGGGAGTACATGCCACTAGTGAAGTTAAAGACATACACAGATTTATGGATATAAATATACAGTAAAGTTTAGGGTGGTAATTCTGGAATTTTGGAGCAATGACTGTATTAAGCAGCCAGCAGCCACTTGGATATCATGAATAATGTATGGCAGTAGGGAAAACCAGAGCAAGTCTGTTTCAAAGAATAGTTATAATGGCAGCAAGTCATTGTTCTTACATTATCTTCTAAAGAAGCATCGATAAGTTTAGCCTTGTTAGTTTTTTAATTTCCTTTCATTTTTCATAACTTTTTGTGTGTCTCTGTTAAAATTTCCCATTTTTTGTGGTGAACATTAAAACACCAGTGAAAACTGAAATTTCTAATTTTCTTGCTTTGCAAAATGCCACCTTCATGCTTTAGTCTCCCAAACCCTTTTTTTAAGCTGGGTTGATGTCTTGAGCCCAGTTCTGTGAAGTCCTGAGGTGGTTTTAACACTTCAAAGAATGGGCTGTAGGAATGTGCAGCCTCAGGACATGGATCTGTTGATAGGCAGTTTCACCTGTGCTGTATTGTCCATAAAGTGTTTTGGCATGTGTGTAAATGCTTTTCAGACTAGAGATGAATTTAAGCACGTAACTGCTTTTCTAAACTGCAGATGTATTTTATGAATGTAAACAAGTGTGTGAGAAACTTTTTGGGGTTTTCTGTATCTGTGCAGTAAGTGTAAAACTAGGATTTGAATTTTGAAGTCTCTGTTATTCTTCAGGAATGTTAAAACAGAAAATGCAGTGACAGTATGACTCATTGACATTCGCTGGTCTGAATTGAATTTGGTCTATGCTCAAGTCTTGCATCACTTCTACACCTGGAAATCTCCAACGATGTTAATGAAGTAACTGCTGATTTACATGAGTATACATGGGGGGGAGATTATAAATCTACCTGACTTTGAAGACCTTTGTAGAGGCTCAGAGTGGAAGGATGACATTGTGCTATCTTAACCTTCACTAGGCATTTTCTATATAATAACTGTGGGGAAACAGGGTGGAACTGTAAGAAGCAGTTCCCAGACTGATTTTGCTCTGGAGCAATAACCACTTGTTTCAAGCAGCAGAGCTGATTTTCTGTCTCCTAAGATTGCTCCAATTGTAATTGCTCTTCTTTCTTTAGAACCTTTCCTTTGATGCTCTCTAACACACACTTATGACTTTTAACCTTAACAATAGATGTAGCAATCCTTGCTACACCCAATTTACACCTTGGGAATATACATGGAAAGGTTCATATGGCAGGCAGCTTGTGACAAAATCAGGCGCTTCAGTGAGTGACACTTGCAAGAAAGTGATTTTTAATTGTGGAATTTTGGCAAGCTGCAACATTCTGCTATGTGAGAAAAATACATTCAAACCAATTTGAAACTAAATGCAAAGCAAGTTTAACTGATGAGATATGTGGTCTGCAAACAGAATAGTCCGTGCTGATCATTCAAGTCGGATTACTGCTCTAGGAATATTTCTTCCCACCTAATAAATCAAGGTAGAAAAATAAGACGCAGGAATAACAGCAGAAAACTGCATAATCACTACAGTTGGATCAGAGCACATAATTTCCTTTAAAAGATTGAAAAGTATGTAAAGATTTAAGCAGATCAACCTGATTATATATTGAGATTTACCTTGTGGCACAAAATCATTACATAGTATTTTTGCATGTAACTGTTCAGTGTTGCTGCATCCACTATTTTGTAACAGTCTCAAAACTATGGTTTTCATCCAAAAAGCTTTACAGAAAGTTATGACAAAGGTATGTGAGGGAGGTGCAGTTCTATCTAAACACCAGAGCCATTCCACAGTAGTAACCGTGTGAAGCCTTTTATAGGATGAAAGTGAAACTAGCGCAAATTTAGTTAAAACTGCATTAAACAGCAGGAGGTTAAATAACTGTCATAAATGAGCCTATGTGCTTTGAGTAAAGTTAATTATTCATAAGATCAGTGATAGCAGAAGATGCTTTCTCAGGTTGAAAGTTGAGTATGCACTTACCAGTAGTATTAGTTTGCACTGTTTTCCTCATCCATTCATAAGAGCTGTGCCTTTGGCTGTTGGGAGAGATTTGCTGTGTATTAATTGTATCTACAGGAGGTAACCCCCCAGATCCAGCGGGATGGAGGGAGCTGTAATCAGCAGAAGTGTAGGAGACCTGTCCAGGAGACGAGCTGTTGATCTGAGCAGCAGCAACTGTGCTAGAAGGTCCTGGGCCGTAAGCGTTCCAGTCCTCCCTCTGCGGGCCATAGTGGGATCCCCAGGTTCCTGCAGGCTGTCCGTGGGTGTCCATAGTTGGCACATGATGGTATCCCATGTAATCTGGATAGGATGGAGTAGACACAAAGTTTTGCACTGGCAGGTTGTTGTTACTCCTTGCAGATCCTGGATACATGCTGTTCTCCTTATCCAAGAGAGAGCTCACATACATGGTTGTCACAGGTCGTAAATGCGTTGTCACAACATTTTGTTCTTCCGTATTTTCTTTTGCTGCTTCAATAGAATTGTGTTTGATTTTCTTTAATAATGCCACTCTGCTTGGAATCTTCTACTTCATCCTCTTTTATTATCAACTGTGTCACCAGGTGCTGGTGGTAATGGTTTACCAAGATCTTGCCTGACGTCAGCCTAACTGCCTGCCTCATAATTACATTTACATTCAAATGAAGGGCTGCCCAACCCCACCTTTCTGCTAGTTCTGGTGCTTTCTCTTTTAGAGAACTTTTATCTGTCCTGTTACCCTTTCCTGATATTCAACAGCAATTCCAGTACTGTAGGATGATGCAACAGTTGCTTGTACTTGTAAAATAGAAAATAGACCCTTTTAAAGTAAGTATGATGGAAATGTTTGGTGTTCAAATGATTCTTGGCTGAAACCTTTATTCTGTGATGTGTTACTGATCAGCAAGTAAATTGTTACTCTATTTCTCAGATACTAAAAGAGCCCCTATTTTTTCCTTAAAGGACGCAGGCAATTTGAATAATTATAAGTCAGTAACTTCAGAATACAGAGCACCTTGTAAACAGCATGCCTTGAGTATAACTGCCTCCAAAAAATTCCCCCTCAGTTTTGGTGTTTGTAATTTGGAGAAATTAAGGCTTTAACTGTAATGCACATGTTTACGCATAGGAAGTGATTTAAAGAGATCTCTTCATCTGGTGGCTGTTGCAAACTGATAGATTTTAAAAAGCAGACAATAAATCTTTCTAACAGAGGTAGTTCCAGAAGTACAAAGAAAATGACTGTAAAGAGTAGTGAAAAAACCCTTTGATTACACCCAGCAGTACTGTTGGCTTCTGTTTCAAAATGATCTGCTTGAGAGGCTGGGTTCCTTACTCTGGAGCTGTGGTGTAGTTGTCTGTTATAGCGGTGGCAGCTCAGGTAGGTGAAATCAGCAGGGGGAAATGTCTGAGTTACCAACTTAGTAGCTCGAGAACTGCCTCCATGCTTCTCCATTACATGCCTGGCGCATGGGTACTGTGTAGGTCAGTGCAAGTGTTTCCACAGGGAAAAACCATTCTGAAGCTGCATTTATATGTTGTTATGAGGGACTGGATATTACCATGGGAGAACTAAACCATGCTTATGGCTTGAGAATTGTCTTTATATGTGGTTGTCTAGCTACAATTTGTAGAGTGAATTTGATATGTTTTTATCCTGGATGGATTTCTTTGCAATGAGCTATTTGTCAAGGTGTATGCTTGCAAAAGAGGTGCAAATTACAGTGAGTTGTTTCCCTTTACAGAGGTGTGGGTTTTCATTCAGTCTGCTTTGTGTTCTGACACTACTCATATTCACACATCCCTTCTAATTCCAGCACTAAAGGATTCTAAGTGTGTACTTAAAGATGGGAAGGATGTTTCTGTTGTGGGTTTGGAGGTGTTCTTGAGGAAAGAAATTTTACTGAGAAGTAAAATAGCAAAATCTTTATAATTCATTTTGCCATATTTACAGGTTTCTTTATTAATCCTTGGGATCCTGAGAATGTTGAGGAAAGCTGCATCATGGGATAGGGCCTTCTGTGATTGATGCATACTTATGAAAATAGACATTAAAAAAAATCAGAAAGTACTCTTGTTCCTTTAATCTTGAAAGAAAAGGAATTGTAATACACCTTGGAATTTCTGTCTATTCATGGGCGTTATGCCAGCAGTTAAATTTTAATGTTTCATTAACAGGTATGCAGAGCTGTCAGTCACAGGCACATCCATAAGAGGGTGAAGTTTTGTCTCCATTGGCTGTATCTGAAATCCATTGGCGCAGTACAGATAAACATTGGTTGCTCATGGATTTCAGATTGGACATGTTTGACAGCTAAGTACGTGGTTTTCACATCTCACTGAATTACACTGAATGTCATAGAATGCATTAGATGATGGAAACATTTTCAGTCCCTGATCTTCCTCTTTCATTATGGAATGCCTCAGCGCATACCCCCCACAATTTCAGTATCACCTAATCCTATTTTTTGTATCTCACAGCTTTATCTTTTATTCTCTGTTCTTCTTTTATCTTCTGTTTATGCTCCTCCTTTCCCTTTCTTGTTTTGTCTGTTCCATTATCTGAATTTTCTTTAGATCTATTTCGATTCTTTTCAGAATGTAATTAGATCAAGATACGCCATGGCGAATTGCTACACAGATTTGATACCAGCTAACAATAGTAAGCTCTGAGTAAGGCTTTTTGTTTAAAAAGATTTACATAGCAGGATAAGATTACTGGGCAGGACTGCAGATTTTTAACACCAGAGTGAGTGTAAGATAACTGAAATGGAATAACATTCAAATTATCTGCATCTTGACTCTTAGGCCTCCCGTATTGTGTAACAGAACCATGTGGATATATTAAAAAGGAACAGTACCTTCTTGTGTAGTATGGTAGCTTGAGGCTACCAAAATTTTGGGGTTGATATTTTTTGAGAGCTTACTGATGGTTCATCTGAATCTACCTTCCAAAGAATCATTTCTTGGCCATGCTTATGTCCTTTCATCCCCCATGTTAGTAGCTTCAGAGCTACCAAACCACTGCATCTGCAGTGTGTAGCAGTAACTTACTCTGTAATTCAAAGAATGCTTTGAGTAGCTATTGCTGTTGGTGGGGTAAAAGGTAGTAGGCTAGACATCCCAAAATCTCATCCATGTGGGGGTTTGTACTTACACCACTTTCTGCAGTGGTGATAAAGACAGGACAGGAAAGATCTGCATGGTAGCAGCAGCAGGGGTGCTGTGCTCTTTGGTATATTTCAGAGACAGATTGCCAGAATAACTAAACTCCAAGGTTATGATTTGTTGATGTAAAGTTGTCTGTGTGTAAAATTAAATGTAGTTTGAGATCATTGGAGAAGAAAATTTCTCATTTTCTAACAGTGTTTGATGAAAATCTAGCAATAATAAGAAGCCTGGTGATAGCCAGTATTAAAGTTTTGCTTGTACAGGCAGTGTAGATGGTGCACTACGTGTATGTGCTGATCTAAAGAGCGTTTCGAAACTGGGTAATAATGATGGAATCACAACGTGCAATGAAATGTTTTAATGACAGCTATTACAACTGCCATTTCAGGGACTACTAGTAGATTAGAACCGGCCTGTACACAGGAACTTATATTAAAGGTTTTAAACCTGTGATAGTTTTTATTAGGAACCCTTATTCATAAAGTTACTCTTGCTTTTATATGGAGATAAGAAGAAATAAATCTGTCCCATCTTTGAAGCTCGAAAATGATATGAAATCTCTCTGGGCTTTTGGCTGTGAGGTGAAAAAGCAGGTGAGCTTAGTGTGTCCCATTCTGGCGAAGGTGATAGGAATAGGTGTTTGTTTTCTTGCCTCCAGATGACCACTGTAATTACACATCAGTAACATCAGGCTTAGGAATGCTTCTTGCCCATACCTTTAGAACTGCATGCTTGGAATTTCAATGGAACAGCTAGCTAAGGACTTTGTTAGTGAGCTGTGTATTGCTGGTTGTTTGCAGTATCTCAGAGATGTTATTGAGTCTTTTTCAAGCTGGGCTTTCTGTGCCTACCCATTCACCCTAAAATTCCTAGTCAGCTGTATAAATCTTGAGGAAGGGGCAGTCAATACGTGGCATGCTGTCAGCTGAGGTCAGTTCTGCTGGAAGTAAAATCCAGCTAGTCATGAAGGCAGGAAGATGGGTTTAAAATTTGAAACGCCCAGCTAAAGAGACAGCTCTTCTACAAGCATACAGTTTCCAAAAATTGTATTTACCCTCTTTTAATGAGGCTGGTTTAATATGCAGCACCCTGGTGTTGCAGACACCTGAGTTAGGTCTCGTTTTCAGGGCTTGAAATGCAAGTACGTGCTAAATGATATCTGTACTGACAGATGTGGCACAGCACAGAGAGCTCAGTGAGTGATGCTGCTGAAACATTCTCATTTGCTGGACTGAACTCTTCTGGGGAAAAAGAGAAAGGGAGATATCACAAGTTTCAGTTTGGCACTATGTTTTTCATCCCTAACGTGTGTTTGGTGTGTTTGGTTTTCGTAAGAGATAAACGGTAGAAGTAAAAATGTCAGTTGTAAGGAAAGCCTCAGTGCTTTCATTTTAGTTTTGTGCTCTGAAATTTTGGCTATTAAATCCTTTTGAAAAATGATGACAAGTGATTTGTTGGAAGTATGAGGTTTGAATTTACCCTTCTGTCTGTTCCTCTACTGGTGTTTTCTAACTGCTGCTAACAATGACAGACTGCTCATTTCTTAATGGTAACTTTTGCATTTTATTAAACATAGCAAAAATATATTTCATGTGTAATCTGCACCAGTGTTGCATTTGCCAGGAAATAATGGTCTGCAGCTAAAGAAGGGTCTTAGTATTCTGAAATCTAAACAATGTAGTCTGTTACAAAATCAGTACAAAATAAGAGTACGTCTTACTGCTGAAGCAGCAGAGCTATCAGAGTCACAGAGCCTGCATGTGAACTCCAGGTTAAATCGATTCTTCTCGGCAGCACCAGGAAAATGAACAGCAAATCCTCTATTGACACTTGTTTGGTTTCCTTCCCGAGTCATGTAGCTACACTTACTGTAGCTCTTGCCGAGCAGAGTCCGGCTAGATGGCATTGTGGGGTGCTAACTGTGAGCCTGAGGTGTTCTTTGCTGTGGTCTTTCTTTCTTGAGGCAACAAAGGAATTGATTGCCTTTACTGTTTGCCATCCTTGCCATAGGCATGGGTTATATTCCTGGTAGACTGGCATTTCTGTTGTACATGTTTAACTCTTTGTTCATACTCCCAGATGAGACATTATTGTCTGTATATGTCTTGCCTTAAAGTGATTGTAATTTACTGGGAAGACCAAGAACATGCAGGGTGTATCTTAATGAAGCCTCTCCCTTTATTGCGATACCTCTTAGAACAGAGTTTGTTACAAAGTGCACGAGAAAGTATTTGCGCTCTTTGAGAATGAAAACAGCTTGCAAACCTTTTCATCCTAAAGCTTGTGCCTATTCCTTTACCTGGTGAGGTTTGCACAATATAGTGTCCAACTAGTATCATCCAGGGCCAGTCCAAAATG